TGAAATCAAAGAACTATAGTCAATTTTTTTCAAAGTCACTCATTAGTTCATAATTTTCTCTCTTCTAAAAACATGCCAAGGCAATACTCTTAGATACTGATACCAGCCAATGACTCATCTTCCAGTTCCAGCCCAAATGAGCCTGAAAAGACGGCAGCCCTGGCTGTTCTCAGGTGGAGCAGAAGAACCACTCGGCTGAGCACAGGCAGCCCACAGTCCCCTGAACAATACAAACATGATGGTTTTAAGTTTAGAGGAGATTTGTTATGGAGCAATAGGTAGTCAAAATACACACTGTCAGCTGAAAAAAGTTCCCAAAATATTAATAATTATCACACGATCCCATTTTTGCTGGAAAAATTTTAAAAACACTCTCAATAAATGAATAAACAGCAAATGTCTGTGAGGAAGGGTACATACAAGCCATGGTGAGAGAAGAGTGTATAGAGAAGAGGAGGAGATGAAGCTTTCATTCTTACTTTATACAATCTTTTTCTCCTCAATGAGCATATTTTTAATACAAAAGCCAAAGAGGAACAATAAAACATTAGGATGTAAGGAAGGTATACATTGGTAATATTAGCAAGTTTTGAAGCTGTATTTCTAGCATTCCCAGGTTAAATCAAGGTATTTTACAGCTTCCCCTAAAACAAAACTATCATACCACAGCTATGTTCATGAAATAGAGGACAAAAGGGAACTCATTCAAACAGATTCCCAAGCTCTCTTCTGTGCTGGAACCCATCACTGGGGACCACACGGTTGCAAAAAAAACATCTCTGTCCTCAAGGGGCACAAGGAAGACCCAGGTCCCCACCTGGACTGGGGCAGGTAGACACGCGGTCAGAGCCAGCACCCATTTTCAACTGGGCGTCCTGCCTGGCAGCTGCTCACCCTCTCCCAGCCCCTGCAACCACCCGCAAAGGGACAACCGTGGTGCGTGTCTCCTCAGGCTGGGGCCGGAGGGCCAGAGTTAAAATGAGCATTTACTTGCTACAAAGTACTTACTTAACTGAAAGGACCTTTTTTCGTCTCAACGTGCTCATTTTAAAAAACAGGGAGAGATTAATTGTACCTGCCTTCATGGGGTTCTTCTGATAATCAAGTGAAAGAATCATCTGAGACTAAAATAAGGAACCAGCTGCCTACAGCGGAGTCCGTGCATCCCACCGGGTGCAGGAGATGCTCCACGGAGCTGGGGACGGGCATGTCAGAAGTTACATTTATTTTTATCCAGAAAGAACAGCAGCAACTGTTTTCGTGATATGACTATCACATAAAATAACTTAAATATATATCAGTATGTACTGATTATGCTAATTACTGTATAGTATGTTATATTATGCTAATTTTATTACACTACTGTAAAATACTAACTGTGCTAATAAAAGTAGAAGATGACTCTGCGTTCTCACTGAGTCTTTCTGTCCAAGGTCACACGTCATCAGCCCTCAGAAGTGCCCAAGGTGCTCATCTGCCTTCAGGACTTGCACAGTGAGGTGCGTTGACATATGACTAAACACTATGCAGAACACGAAGCTTTAAGATTCCTACAAAAAGCACAAAGTAGTTATACTAAAAAATGCAAGCACAGGCAAGCACAAACCCAGCATTGAAGGTGCGTGGTTCTACCGGAGTGAGGTCTGCACGTACCACATCAAAGAAAAAACTACGCTCCGGCCCTGACTGCTGTCGGGAAAAGGGAAAGGTCACCAGTTTGATTCCCAGTCAGAGTCTGTGCCTGGGCTGCAGATTGGGTTCCTTGGTCAGGGTCTGTTAGAGCGGTAGCTGATAGATGTTTTTCCTCACTCTTTCTCCCTCCCTTCCCCTCTCTAAAAATAAACAAAATCTTTTTAACAAAAATCAGAAACACTATGATCTGATACAGAGAACAGACTGACAGCTGTTAGAGCAGAGAAGAGTTGGGGGGCTGGGTGAAAAAGGTGAAGGAATCGAGGGAAAAAAACTCTCACAGAAAACAGTATGGTGCTTACCAGAGGGAAAGGGGAGTGGGTGGAGACAGAGAGGTTGAGGGGGGAGGATAAATGGTGAAGGAAGGACACTGGATTTGGGGTGGTGAACACACAATATGCCTGAAACCTACATAATTTTATCAACCCATGTCACCCCAATAAATTCAATTTAAAAAAACCAACAAACTATGATCTGACCAGAAACAGGGCAAAAATACTCAAAATTCAGGGAGTATTTGAAATAGGGTTTTAGTTCCAGTTATTAACAATTAATCCAGCCCTAGGTGTAAATTAGGCCTTGAGATACAAGCTAACTCTAGCACATGGGGAGAGCTAACAAGGTATTCAATTCAGATATAACTGACAGATAACATTGTGTAAGTTTTAGGTGTCTTAAATTTATTTTACTAATGAGAATGATTTAAAAAATCTGGAAACCACAGCAAACTACAAAATATGTCATGGTAATCATATTACATAGTATTTTTACATATATGTTCTTCCTGTCAGGCACTATTAATGTTCAAAAATCTTAGCTGGGAGGAAGTATTATTGGTATAGCCCTAAAAGGTTTGAAATGAAAATAAGATCAAAATGTAAAAATCTGAAAATCTGAGGTGTGCTTTTTTCCCCCCACCCCCTGAAAGTGTAGAGAAATTTGTGTGTGAAGCAAAGTGGACTCTGGGAATCTAGGAAACGCTTCTTCAAGCCAAGTCTCTCTTTTATTAAAGTCTCATCAGTAACTTGAAAGTCCACAAAAAAAACTACCACAATCAAAGAACTTTGGGGGGGGGGGGGCCAGGGGCGGGTGGAGACAAATGAAATACCACTCACACTTTCTTAAAGTAAGAGCAAAAGCATATCAAGACCATTCTTTCTACTTCTGCAATTTTTTTTTTAACATTTAACAAAGTTTTCCTTTGGAGGGGGAGGAGAGATTGTTTATGAAAAAAGCAGCATTTTTTCTTACCCCAATTATTGATATTATTTAATAATATCGTTGAAAACGAAATTTATTGTTAGGTCACTGAAAAAGAAATTTGTCTCTTCCTAAAGCAACTTATTTTCTAAAGATAAACACAACAATAATAAGCTGAATTAAAGCCCAGGGCACAGGGACTCTTATCCCTCATCCCAGTCTCCCTCCTCCCTTCCTGGTCCCTCCAGGCAGTTTCATAAGGGGGAAGGGGGAAGGGATGGCTGGCCTTGGGGACCACGCTGCCTTCCACCTCCCTTTCACTGAGTGCCTGTCAAGGAGCCTTAGTGCCCTGCTCCCCACAGCCTGCTGGGTGACACCCTCGAACTCCTCCCTGCAGCGGCAGCTTCCCCAGGCTCTGCCCAGCTACCTTGTGCCCCAGCCGGCACACTCACAGGGTGTCAGGTTCGGCAAAGCCCTTCCTGCTGAGGGAAGTGGTCAACCACCCTCCCTGCCCTTTCTGCCTCACCCCTGAAAACATACGTAAACCCAAAATCTTTGCATCCCCCATCAGTAACTGGACCAGCAGCTAGAAAGCAGACGGCATCCTTAGCTCCTAGTGGCACTGTCACTGCAATCTGACCCCCCCACCCCCAACACCCCTTCCTCTCATCCTTCGTCTTTCATTTTTTAGCAAAACTGATGAAACAAACGTGATCACCTCACTGTAGGAGAACAAAATAACATCTTGAAGAGCTAACCTTTTCCTTTAAACATCTTAAAAATTCAATGTCTTTTTAACCACTGACACTCTAAAAACGGAGTTCTGGCCTAAGATGAATGTTAGCAAGTTACTGGCTTGTATTTACAAATAAAGTTATTCTCCCCAAAACCACAAGCTTAGTTTTATCTTTTATGACACAAGAAGGACCTAGACTGCCCTAGGGGACCACAAGGTCCTCCAAGAGATTACACTGCTCCCCAGGTCTCATGCTCCAATTAATTCATAAACACTAAAACTGGCTAAATTTGAGTCAATCTGACGGCCATAAGCCAAACAGAGTCACTCTGGAGCTGTTAAATATTTCATCAGGCTGTTGGACATCTTAATAACCCACGCTTAGGAATGTTCCTCAACATTTGCGTAATTTCAGGCTGTAAGCCCTTGGAGACTCCAACCAGACAAAGAAAATCTCAAAAAATGGTGAAAGCCACTACAAGTTTGTTAAAGCAAATTTAGAAATGGGACATATGAAAATGTCTAGCATCATCATGGAACTCCGAACAATAATTACTCTGAAATTCCACTAAAAAATATTAATCAAAACAGGTATTTTTTCCCACTTTGTTTTAAAAAACAACAACACATTAAAACTAGTAAACAGGATGTGAAATATAAAGAGTATATAAAGCCAGGAAACTATTTTTACAGCAGAGCGAAAGTTTTGTAGACCCTTCACACAGCCAGTGGTAGAAAATACAGGAGGGGACCCGGAGCATCCCTAAAACGGGTTCCATCTGGTCTGCAGCAGTGCGGTCCCAGGACCTAGCGTCCGGCTCCCGGTCACCTGCCAGGACACGACCGCTGCCAACGTGTGTGCACCCGCCTCGGGCCGAGCTAGCCGAGGGCTGGGAGGTGGAGCGAAAACAAGGAGGTGAGGTAAACGGTGCTGCCGAGCCCTCCTTCCCTGCCTCGTGCCCATCACGCCCACAGAACTGGCACTAGGGCGACTTTGGGGATGCACGCTTTTGACTTTAGGTGCCAATGCGCGTGACCAAGCTAAGAACAAAAAGAAAGGCCCCAATCGTCCCAGACTGGCCTCTGCAGGAGCCGGGAATCCTCGCACGACCCCTCGGCGCCGGGAGACGGAGTCCAGGGGGCCCGGGAGACCCCGAAGCGAAGGCTCCGGTGAGGAAAGGTGCAGAGCAAAGGCGGAGCGGACTCCAGGAAGAGGCTGCTGCCCGGGTGTGAGCCGGGCGGTGTCTCCCTGGACCCACACGGAGTCCCTGGGGGGGTGAACCCCAGACTCAGGAAGGACAAGAGAGTGAAGGCGGCCAGCAACCGGGCGGCGACCAGGCGCGCCCGCCGGGGACACGCGCCATTCACTCACCTCCCGCCACGGCTCGGGTGGCTGCTCCCGGCTCCGGTGGCTGCTCCCTGCTCCGGGGCCACGCTGCCGCTCTCTCCGCCTGCTGGCCTGGCGCTCCCGTCCGCTCAGCGCGCCTCCGTCCTCCGCAGCGGCAAGCGAGTCCCCGCCCCCTGGCAGCGCCCTAGGAGGCGGAGGCGGCGCTGCGAGCGCCTGGAGGCAAGGCGGGTGCCGCTGGGGTCGCGCTGCTGCCCCTACGCGGGCCCGAAGGTGCACGCTTCCGACCTGCGATCGCCCCTCAGTGGAGCGGGAAAATCAACACTGTGCTCCCTCCTTGTCGCCCGCCCTTCTCAGCCAAGGCCACTGGGCGTTCCTTGAGGACACAACTCCATAGCAGAAATTGAGTGGTCCGGATGCTTCTTAAAGAAGCGCATAGGTGGGACGCAGCAGCAGAGCTAAGGGATCTGGAGACAACTGTCCCACACCTCTTGGTCACCAAGGAATTTTCTGGAAATCAGAGCCAACCACGCCCAGCCCCAGGCACCTTGCCACATTCCAGCCTCCTTCAGGGGTCCAGGCCCCAAACTGGCCACATTAGAGGAACCAGTGAAAAACAGATATGGGGAGCAGTGGAGGGTAAGGGGGGGGCGACTGTGCTCATATATTTTTTTTCAATTAGCAATAATCGCGCCTCGGATAAACCTCATTGGCTATGATACTGCTACTGCGCAAAGCTTCATAATTTTTTTTTAATTCCACATCCTTTCCCAGTTGGCCATAATCTCCATCCCGACCCCACCCCCACACCCCGAGATTGTTCTCTCTCAAACTGTAATTTTTTAGGCTGTGACACTCCGACTACTTGCCACAGATAAAATGAAGACTACTTGGGCATAGGAAGTTTGGAAAGCACTGTCAGGTCATACCTCCCTGAGTGGATGCTACAAAATTAACGTCTTACAGGGGTCCTGCACTAGAAAATTCTAAAGCAATGGTTCTTAACCCTGACCGCATTGGCCAGAGGTTAGGATTATCTGGGAGCTTAATTTAGAGTATTCAGATGCCAGTTTCCCAACTCTGGAGTTGAGTCCAAACACTGGTATTTTTGTTTGTTTTGAAGGGGTGTTCAACCTTTTGGTGTCTCTGGGCCACATTAGAAGAAGAAGAGTTGTCTTGTGCCACGTGTTAAGTATATTGGGACACATAATCACACAAAAAAATCGCATAATGTTTTAAATAAATTTGGGCCACATCACAGCCATCCTGGGCTGCATGCAGCTTGCAGGTTGGACACTCCTGTTAACTTCCCAGGTAATTCTAACATATGGCCAGGTCTGAGCAAAGTTCTCATAGAATTATCTCTTTTGGAACTTACCTAGCCCCCATTTCTGGGGTGGGAACCCCTTCCTCTCAGCCCTTACAAATTCCAACAACAGAAAGATAAATAGGGAAGTACACAAACCCCTAAGGGTATGCTTACAGTCAAAATTGTTTTCAACCTGAACAACAACTCACCTTGAAAAGGGTGGCCAAGATAACTTATGACCACCTGACCATAAATCTCCTTAAGTGCCACAAAATACTTTTATGAGCCATAACCTGCCGAACTGAAGTATGAGCTGACAATAATTACCCGTTTAGAGTCACATTCTACCATGTTCCAAAGCAGAATTTTCACTACTTACTGTTAGACAGTTACCTGGTCAGACCAAAGGTTCAAAAGCTGAGGGTGTGTTGGACATCAGCCATGACTTCTCCAATTATCTGACTTGTATCACTTTTCTCTGATCTTCTCGTGACCTGAACTGAGCACATCCAGGGTTGGGGACAGATACATTAAATTTTGCTGGCCCTCCTGATCATGTGTGACTTCTTAGATTGGTAGACCATCACTTTCATCTTATTTACCTCTAAGTAGGTCTCCATTAATACCTCTCATTCATCAGCAACTAAGTCAGCAGTGACTAAGCCAGTGGTTCTTTTTACAGAACAGGTCTGTGTGTCTAAGTAGGAAGGCAGCAGCTGGTTGGATTAACTACACCTTTACTGAAGAAGAATTAGTCCTTTTCAAGTTCCATGAAAACCTTTATGACAAAATTTGAACTTTTTTTTTAGTGATTTTAGAGGGAGGAAGAAGGGAGAGAGAAATATCTATTTTGTTGTTCCACTCATTTATGTATCTATTGGTTGATTCTTGTATGTGTCCTGGCCAGAAATCACACCTGCAACCTTGGTATATCAGGACCACCCTCTAACCAAGTGAGCTACCCAGCCAGGGCCTCAGAATTTGGAATTTTTAAGATGCAGTTTTATATAAACATATATACAGCATATATAAAGATATAGGGTCCAGCACAAATAACACTTTTTTATTATGAAATCATAAGCATATAATTCTGTAACATTACAATATCACGCTCAGGTACACCATATGACATTTTAGGTGAAATGTTTAAGTAAAAACTATAAATTAATACACCCATATTATTACCCTACCAATGACACTCAAGCAGGCCTTGAGTGCCAGACTGTGTATATTGCACATGTAAATATTGGGTTTACATTCCTTATAAAGTTTTCTATTTCCTCAAGTCTTCTTACCCAGAATATTTAGTCTAATCAGTTGCCGGTCCTAAAAATTCAACTGGACAGATTTTTGATTAAATGATGTACAAGGGGCTGTGGTGGTGGGTGGTGGTAGGTGGTGCGGGCAGCCATGTTTTGTTTGTTCACTATCCGTTCCCTCACTTGCTAATGACTCCTGCTTTTCAGACAGGAAACTTCCTGTTCTCCAAGGGATGCAGCCTTGTCTTGATAGGACTGTCAATCAAAGTGATGTCCTCTCCAGTTCAAGGGCAGGGGCAGGGGGTGGGGTGCGGAATCTTGTATTAGTTTTCTATTTGCTGCCCTAACAACTTACCACAAGCCTAATGAGCTAAAAACAGCACAATTTTATAGGTCAGAAATCTCACCAGCTGCATTCCTTTCTGGAATCTAGGGAAGACCCATTTCCTTGTCTTTTCCAACCTCTTGCGGCTACCTGCTTTTCTCGGCTGTGGTCCCCTTCCTACATCTTCCAAATCGGTAACATCTTTCTAATCTGATTCTATATTCATATCTCTCAGATCCATCTGGGAAAGGTTCTCCACTTCTAGGGACCTTTGTGATTATATTGGGTCCCGTTCAAGTAATTCAAGATAATCTCCCCTGGGACTTCCACCAAGACGGAGGCATAGATGGAGACACTTTGCTTCCTCACACAACCAAATCTAAAAACGATAAAGTTTTAACAACAATAAACACAACCAAACCACAGAAAATAGAATATGGAGTACGAAAATAATAAACCGCTCAGCTAAACTGGTGAGAGGGGTGAAGCCAGCAGCGGAGTGGGTTGGGCAAAAAAGATCCCCCGACCTGGGTGGCGCAAAAGCAGCCGAGGGCGCGGATCCCAGGTGCAGGGTAGCTACGGGCGGACCCAAGGAAGGCACTGCAGGGCTGGCTGTCTGAGGTAGCGCATTTGCGTGCAGATAAACCAGTGAAGAGAAGTGCATTGAGACAGACCACGCAAGCCCCAGGGCAGGTCAGCGGGCTCTCACATTTGCGCTCAGATAAACAGGCAGGGGCGAGTGGTGAGGCGGACCTGGTGAGCGGAGAGGGCCACCATTGCTCCCTCTCTGACCCCGCTCCCACATACAGTGTCACAAACCAGCGACCTGGGCAGGCCCCGCACTGGTGAACACCTAAGGCTCTGCTCCTCACAGGCACAAACAGATCAAAATATGGCTCAAGAACAACTCAGAGCCCCAGAGCCAATAAATCTAAGCAATGAAGAAATAGCAAAACTTTCAGATGCACAATTCAAAACACTGGTGATCAGGATGCTCACAGAACTGGTTGATTTTAGTCACAAATTAGAGGAACATATGAAAGCTAAACCAATGGAAATGAATGGAAATGCACAGGAAACCAATAGTAATGGAAAGGAAACTGGGACTCAAATCAAGGGAGCAGACCAGAAGGAAGGAAAAAATGACCAAACAGAAAAATATGAAGAAACAAGAATTCAAAAAAATGAGGAGAGGCTTAGGAACCTCCAGGACATCTTTAAACGCTCCAACATCTGAATTATAGGGGTACCAGAAGGGGAACAGTCACGAGTGGAAACCTTGTTTGAACAAATAATAAAAGAGAATTTCCCCATTCTGGCAAAGGAAATAGACTTCCAGGAAGTCCTGGAAGCTCAGAGAGTCCCAAAGAAGTTGGACCCAAGAAGGAATACACCAGGGCACATCATCATTATATTAGCCAAGATTAAAATGAAGGAGAGAATCCTAGAAGCAGCAAGAGATAAGGGGACAGTCACCTACAAAGGAGTTCCCATCAGACTGTCAGCTGATTTCTCAAAAGAGACCTTACAGGCAAGAAGGGGCTGGAAAGAAGTATTCCAACTCATGAAATCCAAAGACCTACAACTAAGATTGCTCTATCCAGCAGAGCTTTCATGTAGAATGGAAGGACAGATAAAGTGCTTCTCAGAGAAGATCAAATTCAAGGAGTTCATCATCACCAAGCCCTTATTATATGGAATGTTAAAGGGACTTACCTAAGAAAAAGAAGATAAAAAAGATGAACAGTAAAATGACAGCAAACTCACAGTTATTAACAGCCACGCCTAAAACAAAAACAAAAGCAAACTAAGCAAACAACTAGAACAGGAAAAGAATAACACAAATGGAGATCACATGGAGGGCTATCAGTGGGGAAGTGGGATAGGGAAAGAGGGGGAAAAGGTGCAGAGAATAAGTAGCATAAATGGTAGGTAGAAAATAAACAGGAAGAGGTTAAGAATAGTATAGGAAATGTAGAAGCCAAAGAATTTATATGTACAACCTATGAACATGAACTAAAGTGGGGGAATTTGGGTGGGAGGGGGTGTGCAGGGCAGAGGGGAATAAGGGGGGGAGGGGCAACTGTAATAGCATAATCAATAAACTATATTTAAAAAAAAGAAACAGGACCTTCAACTGATCACTTGCAACATTTGCTCAAGATACGAAGTGTCAGGAAGGAGCTTCTTATGTGAGGCATTTGACTCCTCCCTCAGGCTAGACTAGGCACAAGCCCTCTGGTCTCTTTAGGAGGATAAGGGCACTCATTTTAATCA